GGTGTGTTCGTGCCGGATGTGATGGCGTTCCTCTTTCTCGCGACTCACCGTCTGGATCCGGTTCACTTCCCTGCCGGCGTCGCCTGTTTCCGCCTTGAGGTGGTTCCGAGGAAGTTCGTTGACGTTCACCCGATGTAGTAGCGTCATCCGATAATCCGCTACCCTCGCGAGCAGATGGTCTGCGCCGCCTTGGCGTTCCTAGTGATTGGCTTCTTTCCCCGGGTCTTACTTGAGGGCTCGTCCGACTGGTGGCGTGTGCTGTTGTGGATGGGTTCCTCGGGGACAGCAATCCTTCTTCCTCATCTGGGCCGCTTCCCATGTCAAAGCCCGGGTCGATGCCAACTCCCGTCACCCTTCGTGGGGCCACGACAGTCGGGGTCACTGTGTTTCTGCTGGTTTGGCCTCCTTGGTGGTGTGGGACATGGTGTTCAATGTATTCGTATGCTCTGAGAAAAATTCTCCAACAATTAGTCTATGATGTGTACATATTGCCGGCCGTGCCTGTCTGCGTGCGACATCAGATAGCTCAAGGTTATCAGTGATCAAGTCCTGTGTTAGCTTAGCTGCCGTGATACTGTCGCTACTCCACCCTCTCATAGTTTTTTTCTCCGGGATTCCGGAGAGTTGTACTGCTGGGTGAGGGCCCCGAGTCAACAGGCACAAGTGTGTGCGGTGCAACACCGCAGCAGGAGAGGTGGGCACCCCAACAGCAGTTTCAGTTCAAATCTAGCTGACGCCATTCAAGAGTACTCCAGGTGTAGTACGTATTGCAGCACAATTCCAAGTGCTGTACAACCGCAAGATCAGCAGCTAACATTACCAATGCTCGGTGTTGCCGGCGGAGTGGCAGCAAATAAGCATGGTGCCTGTATGGTAATGGAAGTTTTCAACTTCATCTGTGTCTACCTGATTACCGCCACCAATCAAGTTCAACTCTTGTGCAATATACTCTATGGTGCTCAGTCCATCTTTCCTCAAAAATTGGTGGCGGTTGATGCTGTAGGGGGCGCGTTCTTATGCTTGGTCGCTTTGGCGGGTGCACAGCAGGCAGGGTGGTTGCGTCGCGTAGATACGAGTCTCGCATTTTTTTAGGGGGGGGGCTGCGGGTTGCGCCGACAAGTTTGAAGCCGACAGTGGACGGAATTTGGCCAATCTTGGTTCCCTAGATAGCTACTGGAATATTCTACTGCTTTAAACCTTTAGCCTTGGGTGGATATACGCCGGTCGCGCAGCTCTTCTGTGTAAAACGATTTTTTGTTCCTCCGCCATCTTTTTTTTTTTTCAGTCGTGCAGTTGCGTGGGCATGCCCACGCCGCGGAATCGAAAAATGTCAAACACCCCTCCCCACCGATAAAAAAAAACAACCACGGGGGGTGGAGGTGAGCCTACGCACGGAACACTTCGGCAGGGCCCTCTTTAGCCTCGCCAGTCGATGCCGATAAAACAAATGAAGCTTGCGCGAATGTCTGTACGTGGGGCCGCCGCATTGACGGCGTACAAGAGGTCGTACAAGGGTGGCGGTGCCTCTGACTTTCATTACCCAATCTTTCAAGCTGCGGCGGAACTCACCGACTGCAAGAGCGTGCTCTAGACTACGCAGGGAGCCATCGCCATCTCACCATGTCGCTCGCCTTCCCCGATGTCCTCTACGTCGACAGCGACGAGCGAGTGGGCGACGTGTTTGCGTCCACGAAAACTGCAGAGTATGTGAACGAGAACAAGACTTACGGAGAGGAGCACGCTCTGGAGTTTCGCTGTGCCGATTACACCCAGCTGCGACCGGATCGAAAGTTCGACCTGCTGGCGTCTCTCAGTGCAGGGCAGGCGGCGCCTCACTGCTCAAAGCACATTCGGGAGGGCGGATTCATTCTGGCGTCTGATACACATAGTGACGCCCGCACCGCATTGCTGATGGACTGCTGGGAGCTGTTTGCGGTCTGGGACGATGAAACGGAGACGTTCACTACCAAGAAGGACGCTTGATCGCTGCTTTCGTGTCAGGGGCACCGGCGACTTGATATCGGCGGAGCAGGTCCGCGAGAGCGTTGAAATCGGGACTGTCAGGAAGCGCAAATTCAAGCTGATGAGTGAACCCATGTTCTTTTTGTTCCGCAAGAAGCGGGACAGCGGGAAGGGAACATCTTCCCAGATCAGATAGTAATGTAAGGCCTTGTTTGGCCGCGAGAGAGCGCGGTCAACAAATGCCTTCAAATCGCGAGGTTGAGATATGTACGTACCAAGTAGACTCGGCGGACGATGATGATCTCTTCTTGTATTATTGTTGCGTTGTGGTTCAAAATAGAAACGAGGGCATCGTCCTACTCTGTTCGCCGCTCCTACTGTAGGGGTCTTCTAACTGTAACTGCCGCACAGCAGCCATTCCCACATCCTTTTGGTACGATTGGTATCGTCGGGTGCTGTGCATTTGTAGAGGTACTGCATATTGTCTCTCTTATGTAGAAGAAGTTGTCTCTACAGGCGTTTGCTACTTGTCATACTATGAGTTTTAGTCAAACGCTCATGAGCAGTAACCAGGTTTTCCTAAAATAAACGGGGAAAGGATCTCGTATTCAACAGCTACTAGTTAGGGAACCACTGCATTAGGGAAGCTCAACCTCGAATTGCCAGGGTAACCCCACAAAGCAGGGATACAATCTCGTACGCAAATGCTACCGCGTTCCGGAACCTCACCCAGAGTTGGCAGCGGGTTAGGGTTGGTGTGCAACAATCCCGTTGGTGGAGAATTACCCATCCTTGCCCCTCACCAACTTGCCCTCACCCTGCGAAAAATTGCAGAGAGGGCAACGCGTGACCAGTGCGAGAGTTAACATTGATCGCTACACACAGCGCTGTCCTTTCATCTACAACAGTAACAGGATTGTACAATATATTGACCAGACTCGTTGCGCGTTGCGGAGCAGCGACTGTGGGGTATTATTAACGACCAAAAAATCACGGAAAATTAGACGGAATCGTCTTTGATTGTACATATATGGAGGCGTTTCCCCCGAAAACGTGAAAAGAAGGAGCCGGGAATTGTTGGGGCTTGCTACTTTCACGGATCCGTGTTTTTGACAGAAGCATCGGACAAGCGCACCGCGGGCACTGTAACACCACTGAAAACGCTAGAAAGTCCTGCCAGACTCACGTCCAGGTCTGTTGCGGAAATGGACAAGCGGCAGAAGCGGCGTTCAGTTCGCTCTTGGTCCAAAACTAGACATTGCGTGGTGCTCTCGTCTTCAACTGCAGCTGTTGGTGCTGGGGATTCTTTTTCACACACAAACGCAAACACGGAAACGGTAGAACGAGTACAGCAGCTGCACCAAGACCTCCAACGCGCTGATTCCTTCGGTTCGGCTGTCTATATGATACCATCTCCCGGCGCCGTGCTGCTTCGTCGGTGTTGGGTGGTTGGGTGCTGCTCAATAAGGTATGTGAGAGACGTGTGCCACCCCACCAAAATGCCATTGGGAAAAATGCGGCGAGATGATCTGTTTTTGGTCGGACACGTCAACATCAATCCACGGCACCACGCAGCAGAAGAGCAACAGGGCCTGCGACACCCTTATTCTTTTGTATTGGCCATCTAGATGATGCTGGCTGTGAGCGCGGCTGCCGCCCTATGATCGTTGAGCTCGCCTTCCTTTGGGTAGGTGGTGGTTAAAGATGGGAGTCGCAACCGTGAAAAATGAGCTGGCAAACTGAAGAAATCGCAAGCAACACCTAGGTTGTGACACTGACTGCCCTGCGCCTGTTGTTGCTGAAAATTGAAAACAGCAGGCCGGGTGGATAGGATCTTTCTAAGTATGCTGTCCTCTTTGTCGGGCGCTGCTCATTGCGCTTTCACCGCTGCTCTATGGTGAGCAACACCAAGTCAACCTGTTGTGTGACGAGCAAAGTGTGTATTCAGGGAAGGAAACGTACTTTTCGCGATGACATCACGAATAGAACAAGCGACGAAACGTCGGGGTTTTTTTTAGCCGTTCCATGGAAAATTGCACGACTTTTCCGAAACGTTAATAACGAGCCTGTGGTAAATCGATTAGAGTAAGACGTGCGGTGATACGCGTCACTCTTAAAGTCTAGCGCTGACGTAAAAGACGCCCGGCGAGCCGAATATCAACAGCATATGCCAAAATTGCCCCACGAGCTTGTATTTCAAGCTCACCCGTGTTTTTCTGATATCAGCCTCTCCAGCAAAGACAGCTGTTTACAATAAAAGGACAAAAATGACGGCTACACGTTCGGGCTGCATAACCTCATAAAGCAGCAATACCAGCACCAGCACCAGCACCAGCACCAGCGGCAGTGCCTCTAACGAGACTGTGGTCGAGACATCACACCACGTGAAACAACCAAGACATATTTACGTACGTAGTCTAGGCGGCAGAACCTACAGAATAAAACAATGACAGCAGAACCAGCAGCAGCGGCAGCGCGTCTAAACGAGGCGCTGTTGTAGGATCGACCATAGCATCCGCCTGCGCATATGCCCGATGTCCGCCTGTTGGAAGTCGAAGGAAAGGTCGTCGCGAGGTAGGACGCGAACGACACCGCGAACACGCCGCAGTCGGTGCTGGTCTCCTGCCGATCGACCGATCCGACATGAAACACCGTGGTGACATGGCAGTTGAGAACTCTTCCTAGATACACATGGTGGTAGTCCTAGTGGTACCACGTTGACCGATTTGTCTATCCCGTGTGCCGTAATCTTGCAAACGAAAACTTGACGGCGGTCACAGGCCAACAGCATTGTTTGGAAATCGAGAGATGGGGTTTGAACCGCTATTCGTTGTAGTGCCCTCCCAGCGCCGCGGGCAAGCCACAGTTCTTGACCATCATCCTCAAGTTCCACCGGGGGTTGAACTCCAGAAACACCGAGTGCGCTATGTAATGTTGGCGATGTGCAGTAACTCCCTGGCAGGGTCCACGGTGATAGCTCTGTTGAACCAAGAGAACAGTAGTTGGGACGCAGCAAGAGGGGTGGCAGCCTTTGTAGCAATAAATAGAGAGGGGCTAAATAAGCAAGCGATGTTGACTTTCATTGAATTTGGCAACAACCCAAAGGGCGCCTGTCATTGACAAGCAAAGCACCAGATCACTTGGAAGTATTTTGGGCAAAAATAATCCGGTCCCAGTTGCCGCACAGAGCGGCGGTTGGTTGGGGTTGGTCTCCACTAGTATCCAAGGCAGCTAGTCTACCTGTACGCTATATACGAACACCCGGGAACGAAGGCAACATTTATTCTCAAGCTTTAGCTTCAGCCTCATTGTTCAATAACCTTGGAGGTTTCATTCGCATGCCCCACCCCTTGCCCGACCCGGTCTAAAATGCTGATCTCGAGCTACAGTGCAAATCTCGTGGCGCCTCGAGTATGGTTCGGTGTAGAATCGCATATCATGAGCCGTCCCTGAGTTTGAGCAGCTTCCGCCTCCTGTGGCCGGCAAGAGTCGGCGTTGACTGTTCCTTGCCTATTTCGCCATGGAAACGGCCGGTTGAACAGCGAAAGAGGGTCCTGCGTACTGCGCGCCACATTTTTGTTCTGCGGTTGTTCTTGAGTGACCATTGTTCACATGAGGCTGCTGCCCCTGCTGCTGCGGTTGCTGCTGTTGTGCTCGGAATGTGCTGCAATGGTCGCAAGGTTCTCGTAGTAAGGTTTGACAACAGTTTGCTCGTTCGTGTAGCTGTAGCGGTGCGCATCTATCGCGATGGCAAGCGCATTGAGATAATCTAGGGATTTCACCTAAAAAACGCACGAAAAAAAACGTGTTTGGAAAAACGCGTTTCAGAAAGTTTCGGTTGAAAAAACGTGTTTCGTTGTCTCACCGCTAGTGCCGGTTGGAACCCCCCCCCCCCCCCCCCCCCCCCCCCCCCCCCCCCCCCCCCCCCCCCCCCCCCCCCCCCCCCCCCCCCNNNAACCATAGTGGTGGTCGAGTAGATCATGTTGTGCGGGGTCGAGAACCCTCACTCCGCGCAAGGGGGATGATCGCACCACGTTGTGTTAAAATGGTCAAGCACCCTCGAGGCCGTTACACAGTGCCTACAACTGTCTCTGGAAGTGAAAGCACCAGAAAGTAAATTAAGTCATACGCAGCTGTCGTCCGTACGCAAGGAAGTAAGCACAAGATGCCGAAAACCCTCAGCAGTATGCAGCGCACCCTTCATGCGACTCGCCGAATATCTCACGGCGCTTCGCGCTTGGTGATGTGAGAGCCTGGTCCGGTGAGAACCCGGCGTGCTCCGTCCCGGCTTTGTAGGGATGCGAGGTCAATNATTTGGCGTGATGTTGGCACGCGCGTTGACGTCCTGAAGCAAATGGCGCGCCTACAGCGTGGTAAGATTCGGCATGAGAGGCATGGCCAAATCATGCAGACGATTACGGCGGCTCTGCTGTGTGCGGTGGCTGGAGAGGAGGAGCTTTTCCTCGACGAGCGTCCTGGCGGTGGTGGCAATGCGGCAACTCCAATGCGTTGTAACGAGTCGCAAGCACGCAGGGTAGAGGTCTCAAGTGTGTAATCGGTAATCGGTAAGTACGCACAGCTCCCGTTCACGGCACGGTTTCTGGTGCGAGAAAGGGGATTATTGCTCCTGACAGGTATTCGCTCATGTAACGATGCACACACACTGACCTCTCTTTGTGCAATCGAACGACTGTACCGAGTGCGATGAATAGTGAAGATACTCGTACCAGCTGTAGTAGCCGATGTAGCGTCGGAGCAAAGGCGTAATTGTGGATGTTATGGTCTTATGCTTTTAGTTCAAGCTCAGGATGGTAACTTGGTTGTGAGCAGAGGAGGGCGAGTCCGGACAGCTCTTGCAGAGGCTCCGCAGAATGCGGCCAACCACCTCTGTGGGGGTGTACTTGCGGGACAATGAATGTCTCGAACCGTAACATCCCCCCTAGTATATTATCAACTCATAATATACTAACGCCTCATCCTGTACTTGTAACCAATGCAATGGCAGAACCGCAGGGTTCTCCATCAACCGATATGCCTCGAAAGGGAACTATCCACCCGATACTTCACGCCACCATTTCGTCTCTCTCTTTTCTCTGAGGGACAAATTTTCGACAAGCCCCCTCGTGAAGATCGTTGGCATGGAGAGCAATCTCCATGCCAGTGGAATAGACCGACCTTCCGTCACTGACTACAAGCGTTATCACAATCATAACAGCGATTGCGACCAAGTCCTACAGGACCTACCAGTCCACGCATGCACGCTTACATACAATGGACACACCAATCAACAATCGACTCGGTACCGCCTACCGAGTTGGAACAAAGACATACACTCCGCAAGTAAACCCCTTCACCACGACTGAGCCTCAAGAAACCTCCTCCTCCGACAGCACCGCATTTTCCAAGGACCCACAGTTTCCACCATCCCAATAAACCCACAAGGCGATTGCTTCCCCCTAACTTGACATCACGACACAAAAGGAACCACACGATACACGAATAAATGTCCCCCCACCCCAACATGT